TTCTTTTCAATCTCGGTGAACAGTGGCTTTCGGGAATATTTACCTCGCTGCTTTGCGGTAAATTACTGGTACCTTCAAGAAATGTGTCCCAGGCTTTTTAGAAACAAATCTGTCCAATATAAGGCATGTTTGCATAGTAGACATTCTTAAATTTGACTGACAAGATTTCCCAGAAAATCTGTAGTTGGCATCAATAATAACATTAGGTATATGTAAGGACAGAATGTGCCTTGTAAGAGGATTGCACTGTATGGCATACAATTCTTTGTCCTAAAGAGTGTCACATAGGTGGATGGATAGAGTAAAATTATTTTCAGAACATGACTTTGTCTCGGTTATATTTCAAAGCCAAATTCTTATTTTCACCAGTCAGCTCTTGACCATATTTTAATTTACTGCGATGGTAGTGTTGTCCCGTGTTCAGAATCTTTTCTTTATTTTTGGCGTTTCACCTTCAAAGTGTTCTTGTTAGTGTATGGTGCTGAAAGTCTTCATCATGTCAAAGATACTGCAAATTACCAGTTCTTACTTTGGCGATTCTTAATTGTAACAATACACATAACAAGTTTTTGGATTAATTAGATTTCAGTATATAGGTCACTATCCCAGAATCCTTTTGAAAACTTGGCATTTGAAGACTGGTATGTACATTTTAGAAATATTTGAGTTTATTAAATTTTTAAAATTGATATTTAGAGAATAACTTAGAGTTAATAAATGTGCTTGGGGAATGAAATTTCAAATTGGTTGAGCATGCAGAGCAAGGCCAATTTGAGGTTACAAGCATGATTTCCCTCGAATTGATAAAATTAAAAAATTTGATTGCATTATCTGCTTAAAGCCAGACTTCTTGTTTGGTTTGCTCTCTCAAGTGGTTTTCTTAATTTTTAGTGGCTCTCACTAAGAAGTTAATCCTAAGCTCCCAAGATCTGATTCTTAATTCTCCCGGCCTCTAGCTGCCACACATTTCCTTGGAAATTAGTTACAAGAATTTAGTGTTTGTTCAAGGTAACAACTACCGCCTGAAAAGTTGGAGTATTCTCGTTACCTGCTTGCTGTATATTTTATTGATATTATAGGGAGAATTTACCTGTTTATGACTTCTGGAGTTTAAAGGGTTGAATCTAAGGGGTTTCAATAGTAGTGGGATAGCCTGTAGATATACTCCCTTGTAGAGCACTGGTCCCCAACTCAAAGCCTGAACACAAACGTCATTGTGTTACAATCATTGGTTGACCTCAAGAAACAACAAAGCAACAGAAATTGGAATAAACCTCATAATGTAGGAAAATGCAACTGTATGAGTTAAAACCTTCAAATTTCCCAAGAGGGTCTGTATGTTATAAGTAACAAACCAAATTTTATTAGAGCCATTATAAATCTCACATATTAATAAGAGTTGCAACTAGTTTTTCTGGCCTTGGAACTGCTAGATTAAACTTGTCCGAATCAAAGCTATTTGTAGTTCTACAGGTCATATTGGACAGTTTAGCCTAGCAACAACCACTTAGCTCAAAAATGAAGCCTGTTTAAAAAAATATATTAGAATCAAACTTGTGGAGTGAACTGGCAACTTTTTCTTTGTTATCTTGAATGTCATAGGCTATATCTTAATGCTGATCTAACAAAACGAAGAATCCTTTTTTTATGGAGAAATGAACCCACGGTAAGCTGGTTATGTCTCTAGATGAAATCCAATTCTGTGATGCTTTCTTAATTGTGATTAGTCCTGTGAAAGGTGCCAAATGTAGCATCTTTAAATGACAAGCAAAGTGGTTGTGTTACAGTGCAACAAGGTGGTGTCACAGTCTGGCATCTGTTGTACTGCTACATTTGGTAACCTTCAGAAATCAACTATTTGTTGTGGAAACAACATCTTGGAACATCTTCAGTTATGTCTGCACTTCATCAATTTATTTTTGTCAATTGGGTGTCAAGAAAAGAAAAATTGCAAGCATTGACTTGACATTGAAAAATGTTTAATTGTGTTTGAAAGTGTTTAGACAAACTGCAATGTTCAAACTGTGTCAGCTTTTTTATTTCTAATTGATCCTTTGGGAAGGCATATTAGGGAATAGCAATATACATGTACACTGCAGACTGTTATCTAAATAATTTGTGATTCAGAATGGGATCAACACATTTGATTTAGCAAGTGTTTCACTGTGCTTACTGAAATGTATGACCAAAAACTCAGTGAAAAACAAATCATTATAAAGTAATAATTTTATGGTGAACTTTATATTTCAGATAGTTATAGGAAGACACCAGGTTTGAGAAATTATTTCTTACTTTCATCAACTCTGTTCCACTAACTTTCAGTCATAGAATTTTAGAGCAGTATGACAAAAGACTTTTCAAAACAGTTCACCTTCTATATACCCTTTTGCCTAGAATAAAGGAATCCTCTTTGAAAAGGTGTGGACAATTTCCGAAAAAATGTAGAGAACATTTTAAATTAAAAAAGCTCTTTTGAAAGACTGATTTTTAGACATAAATTTATTTAGCAATCTACACTAGTCAATTTCATATTGTTAGTGGTTATTTTTAATTAGTATATTCACACTCAGTGATCTTGGTGTTTCAAACAATCTGATTGGTTCGCTATCTCAGGCTAATCAACAATGTAAACCTCCAAGCGAGTGGATAATGTGAAAAACAAATTAGCGGGCGTAAACTCATGTTTCGCTAAAGTTTCAGAAGCAGAAATTACCTTTAAATGGCTTCCTTTTAATTTTGTCAAGATCACTTCAGGTGTATATACTAAAACAATTATTCTTTTCAATCTTGGTGAATAGTGGCTTTCGGGAATATTTACCTCGCCGCTTTGCGGCTTGGTAAATATTTAGGGTG